CTCATTAAAAATACCTATCAACAGTTCTGTGACTTGAAGCAAAGGCTAACAAAATAAGCTTATTGCCAAATTCTACTGAGATAGTTAGGCCTACATTTTATGTTCAGGGTAGGTCAGTGAAGGGTGGCTGAAGGCTTACATGGTCCTTGGTAGTACAATCCAGACAGATACAGTGAACATTAGGAAATGTTCATAAAAGCAGAGAGTAGTTTTCAAGATATGTTGGATTATTTGCTTATTACAAGAGACTACTCCTAAAACTCACAAGCATGAGACTTGTGTTTGGTTTGGTTTTAAAATAAATACAAGCACCGTTTTCAGGAATAATTTCTGTATCAAGTTTGAATCTAAGGAACCCTAGAATCTATCATTCTCTGTGAGGACTACTGACCTGAGTAAGAAACTGCACACACCCGTCAGCCCCACACTATGCTAGTGCTGGCACATGTCTTTCACTATCTTGCTGGCTAGGTACAGGTCTCAGGCTCTGAAAAAGCAAGGTGCATCAGACAAGCCTCCATGAGGCTGGATTTTCTTCTTTTACCTGCATATACTCTACGTATTTCTCCCATCTGGAGAAAAATTTAGAAAGGTGGAATCAAATTGAGTATCGCTTCTCACATTTACATGTTTCTTGCAGCTAACAAATTAAAGCATGTTAAAATCCTTTACATTAAAGGGATTAGAGTATTTTTTAATTGCCAACCACTTGCAGTTTATGAACAAAAGGGATTCTTAACCTGATGTGTTTAAAAATAATTGGGAAAAGATATAAGGCCATGTGATCAACAGTTTTTTCTACTATAAACAGAAAATTTTTTGCAAACCCTTTCACCATGTCATCTAAACCCCAGACTTCAACACCACTTATTACTGCATAACAGAAAAATCTTAAACTGTAAGCCTAGAAGTTTAAAATTTATTTCCAACTTACAGAAAACACTTCCTATCCTAGGTTAGTATCATCATTCATATAGAAAGTCTCCAAACTACAACTATCTGATCAGTATAGTGAATGCTAACTTTTTTTAACCTATACAATAAATCCACTAGTTACAGTTTATCTCCACAGCAGATTCTGCATTCATTATGAACACATCTCTTTTTATGAGAAGCATGAATTTTAGATAAATAAAACTGTGTAGTCCATATATTCAACAGAAATGTTATCAGCTTATGGGAAGCATTGAAAAAAGCTTCATGCTGATGAAAGACAGACTTTATTCCTTTGAAGGCGTAGTGTCTTCTCTGTTTCAGAACTTCACCAACGCATGCTGTAGTCTGTGTGCTAAACATTCATTTAAGGAAACCCAACTGGCAGCAAAACTATCCAGTGCTGTGCTAGCCAAATTTGCAAACAGGCAGAAATTACTTTAAAAGCTTACCATATTACGATCCATTCAACAACAGGCAATTTTTTTAAAAAACAAACAAAACCAATCAAAACCATCACATAAAGCCACACAACAGAAACACACCCCCTACAGAGGTCATTTAGTTTAAATTATATTAGCTTACACAATCTAATATTGTGGCAAAACCGTTAGGGCAACATGCTTATTTTCACTTTTTACTCTCTCAGGACCTTGCATGCTGTATTTAAAAATCACCTTCTATAGGAGACAGAGGCAAACAGCATTGGCCTTACCCAAGCCCATCCTGGGTACTAGCTTTCACCTGAATTTTGAAGACACCTATCCACATACACCATGCTACAAAGCAATTTACTTCAGTGAGGTTGCACCTTCCTCCTCAATGCCACCTGACTATGAGATAGTAGCATTTAGCCAGTAAATTTGTATCAGTGAAGTGCTGGATGGTTGTCACATTACCAAGGGTTGTGCTTACACTATCCTTTGCATGATCAATCAATCTCATCACAAGGGCATTTTCCTTTTTTTTTTTAATCGCATTGGGGCTTTTGGTTGGTTGTGTCTGGGATTTTGTTTATTGTTGATTTTGGGTTGTGGGGTTCTTTCACATCAAATTCTCTCCCCTCCCCCATCTTACAGCTGTAGCAGAAATGCTGATGCAAAGCAAAAAGAAAAAACAGTAGTTAGCTAATATTATACATTTGTATACATAATAAAGGGAAAGCATCAAAACCTGTATTTTTCAAAAGGAACAGCTATAGAAAAGGAGACTGAGCTCTCAGAAAAACAGAGACAGTAAGAAGTGAGGTAACCAAGTGAGAAAAATAAAAGCAGCTGCTGTGTTGAAAAACAATTATTTAAATTATATGCATGCAAATGAGCTGAGAATGACTTTACAGTTTTTGTCTCTACCTTACCATTGTCAAAAAAGTTCAAACTGACAGCTTTTCATAGACCACTGGAATTTCAATATGAGAGCATTTTAACTGATCAATCATTATACCTTACCAGGCACATGCAATCTAACCATGAGGCAGACAGAAGGTAAATAAAGCTCTGGTGTTTTGGGAGGGGTGTTTGTCCTTTCTTCCTTTTTAGAAAAGCGAGTTTTAATTTTAGCTTTTCTAAACTTCATAGATACATACTTAGCTATAGGACACAACTGTTTAAATTTTAGATTTATTACTGCTCAGAGCAGTAGAAATAATTGTAATAATATCTTATGAATAAAATGCATTAAAACAACCCTCAAACGCACCAAAAAATTTATATATACAAATAAAAATTCCTTCTTAAATCTCATCTGACCTTAACCTTTAAATATCTGACCACCAGCTGTCAGGAAACCGGTAACGTTTCTTTGCTTTACATTCTGCATGTGAGTCTTGTTTGTGATCTCAAACTCTGGGGGCATGCACAGAACTGTCTTTGTTCTACTTAGAAAGGAGCCCAGCACCTATGTTGCTGCTTCATGAGAAAGTGATCAAAATGTTTTGCTTTCAAACATTTACTTTATGTCCATAACTGAAGGGGCAGGGAGGGGTGATGAGATAAAGGGACTTTCCTGTCTGTCTTACTGAAAACAGGGAATTTGCTTATCTGTATATTTACTATCAATGCAGTATCTGAACACCACAAGAAAACAGTGTCTCTATCCTCACCTATCATTACTCTACAGATACAACAAACCAATTGAATAAGCGCAAAAGAAGAAAACGAAAGCAAAGTTCATCACCTGCTTGAATCTGAGGTGCCACAGGAAATAGTGCCAAGACTAAACTCATTGTACTGGCTGACCAGCACCCATCATTGCCAACATGAGTCTGCCCCTCTGAACAACACAAAAAGACAGGCTACATTTCTAGCCACTATTTTTATTTATTCATTTATTTTAAATTAAAGAAACATAAGAATTCACAAATGTTTCACTTTTGGACTGACCATTGATCAGATTCCATACGCCAAAAATCAATTTATTGCAAGTCAGGTTTACACAGCCCGAAGGGAAGAAGAAACATCACCAGCTTCATCTGACACCAAGTTTTAAGTTCAACAGCAAATTGCACTGCACATGCACAGTAAGCTAGACTCAAATTTTCCATAATGAATCAGCCATATTGTAGAAGAAAGACACATGACAACTACCTGGGTTATTATTCACCCACCCAAATATGCACATACAGTTTATCTGATCACTAAAGTGACTGTGATATAATCAAGCGTATCAGGCTATTCAAGCGTGAATTTGACACAGCATTGCAATATACACGTAATCCTAAAAACAGTCAGCAAAATAATCAGATCATGGGTATTTAGAAGTGACCACAGTTTGACAGAGAGGAAAGAAAAAACAAAGCAAAGAAATGTCAGTGCTGGTTTGCAGGTAGGAGAAAAATCTGCTTTATGCTGTTCTGCTGGACACTAAGGGAAATGCACACCACTATAAAAGGTTGTTACCAGATTTATTAATAGAACTCAGTGGTTCAACAGTATTTTTAGATGTATGTTTTAACATGAGATCTTTGCAACTAAACAGAGAATTTACTATGTTAGAATACCCCTTATCAGACTAATAGTTTATATTAAATAATCCAGCTGAGGTCAATACAGGCAATACTGTGTAGAAAAATAATCACCTGAATATGCCAGAGACCAATACTGCCAAAACTTAATATACAGTATGTAGATAAGGATAAATAGAGGTTCACAAAAAAAAAAAAAATATCTGTTCAACATTTCCCTATTGAATAGACATGCTGACAAGAAAATGGGTTGAAAAAGATCCTCCTGAAAGAGCTAGCATATATAAATACTAATGACAGGTCACTGACAGTTTTACACAAAACAAATAAAAATTTCACTTATCTTGCTATGGAAAAAGAAAAAAAAGAAGTAAATCAAGCAGCAAGTAGGACAACAGATCAGGCCAGATGTTTATGGGACTAACACTGCGTCACACAAATACTGGCTCAGATCCAAAGAGACAATTAGGACAGTGTGATCCTTGTAAGACACTCTTTCTAAACTTCAGACCAATTTACTGGAATTTATTACACAGTGAATTTATATATAATGTTGGAGACATTAAATTACTAAGGTCTGTAAAAGCACCCTGTATTATACTTAACATTTAGTACTTAGACAGCAAAGAACTGCATCCCATGAAAAAAATTATATTTAACTCAAAAATTGTATAACCTCAAATGGTTAAATCAGCACAGCTACCAAGAGTAGAAGACATATTCTGTAAATTGAGAAAATAATTACAAGTCTGATACTGTCCTTAATTACCAGATTTTAAAGAATAGCATCCCAAAATACACACCTTGTGGTGTTCTACAACCTACAGCATCCGAGCTGATTAAGCACTGACATCAGCAGAGAAGCTTCTGCTCTCTAGGAGAATTGTTCACCAATGCAAAGTGCAAAGGAAAAACAATTATTTCATAAACCCACTGTGAATATATAATTTTCCTCTTATCTTCGAGGAAATCCATATAAATTTTTTTTTTTGTTTAAGTGTTTAACATACCTACACCAAAGTAAATTTATCACAGAAAAAAGCCCATAAATCTGACTACCACATTCATAATTTCAGGGACTAGTAGGCAGAGATAATATACTTACAGGATTAATTCAGCTAACTTCAGGTATGTAAATATAGTCCTCATGCAAATACAAGTGCTGCTTCTCTCACTCTGTTCTTTTTCCACCGTGCACACACACACACACAAAAAAAAAAAAAACACCAAAAACCAGAAGAAATGCATAAAGAGAAAACTGATTCTATTTTATGTCTCAATATCCATAAGGTTTCATTAATAAGTTATCAAGCAAAAATAATAAAAGGATAAAAGTTCACAAGCCAGCAGCGGGCATCACAGGCACTCTCCATAGCCGAATTCAAAAGAAATGTCAGTTAGAGTGGCAGCAGCTACAGTCAATGCTGGAAGCTGATGCCTCTGCGGGAAGAGGATGCTGGGAGATTTTCCCAATCTGTGCTGCAGCCTAGTTCTAATCCATCACTCCTAACTGCAAAGAGAAAATGGAGACATGAGGAACACGAAGTGATTTATATTTAAAGGCAAAAAGGGAGTTACCTCAGTATTTTCTGAACAAAAATTTTAAAAAATGTTACAATTAAAGTCAGATAAAAAAGGGACAAGTATACTAATGCAACTGCAGTAAAAACAGATCAAACATACAAGAGTTGGTAGCAAGCAGCACTGAAGAGAACTATCTCACATTTGATTTTCATTATGTGACAGTACTCAAATAAATAAACTTTTAAAATTATTATTATTATTATTATTAACCCTTTGACATTTTTTTCCCCAGAAATCCAAATTTTTAGCTGGAGTCCCATGACCAAAATAAATCAAAAGCATGGAGAAGCAGCTATAAACAGTTATCTTCATGAATATCAGCAGCAATAGGAGAAAGTAAGTCAGAAGAAACAGAGATACTTTCATCCCCTTGGTCTAATCTCTCCAGATGAGATAGGGGAAAGCTCAGCACAGGGGAAGTAAGCAGCAGAAAATTAAACTGTGTACTCCACTGTTACCTTCAAAAAGTTTATTTAAATCCATACCAGCTGGGCTAATAGAACTTATTCCTAGATATGTTTACAATCATGAACTCAGATTTACTCTCAAAAATGCCTCAAAGAAAGCATTTAAAAATTAATGCAGGAAACTATAGATTTGCATTTACTCATTTCAGATGGGTGCTAAGTAATAAAAGCAGTAAAACACCAAACCAGTCTATTTAAACAATTTACTTTTGAAAATACAAGAATGCAACATACTTGGAAAGATTTGTAGAGTTTTTCCTAAAATGCCTGAGCAAACCAAGGGCTATGATCAGGTAACACAGGCTTTGCACGTGAGAGATGACAGCTGAAACTTATGGACAACAGCACCTCAGGATGTTTCTACCTTTTCCCTGAAATTGTGCCTGACAGTGTTAAAGACCAAGGAGTTCAGAGATATACGAGTTCTCCACTACATGACTTAGAAGCAGTGTTTATGGGTATTGTCACTTATTATATTAACATTACTTGGGGCAGGAAGAGTCAAAGTGCCAGAATTTCGCTCATCTTGATTGCATGTGAAAGGTAAAACAGTTTTAAATCAAGGTTGAGCAGTCATATAAAAACTGACTCTGCTCACAACAAAACATACAATTTTCTGTCTTTAACTCAGCATAAGTTGCAGCCAGTCCACAGCTGAGGCCTCAGAAAGCATTTCCCAGTAAAAGCTGAGAAAGAGTCAGGAGCATGTTTCAACAAAACTGACAAAAGCTAGCTCTCTGTCTGCAAATAGCAACACATGTTCAAAACTTTCCCTGGATTGTCTTAAAGAAAAACCCACTAATACACACTCAAGCCACCTTCCACTCAGATTGCTTCCCAAAATGCTCTGAAACAGTTTTCAACATCTTGGGGAAGAGGGAAAAAACAACCACCCAAACAGAACATTGTTAAAGACCAGAGAGGTTTTTGTTTACTTGACAGTTTAAAATAAAGAATGTGGAAAATCGGTTTTCAATCCTTTTTCCCCCCAAAAAATCCTCCTCAATATCTGAGCAAGTCATAACCTACAAGTTTTTATCTTTTTCATCTAGGAGTTAGAGCTCATCTTTTCATTTTCTTATCTAAAGTACTAATGACTTAAAAGATTGTACCACCAATCCAAAACATTGAGTTCACATCCCTTTCAAAGTCTCTGAAGTTATTCAGAGAAGGCAATTCTTGAGTTACATGACTGCAAATAGCATTATAACGTCTTTATTAAAGCACAGGATAAACACCAATTCCCTGACAGAAATTTAAAGAAAGAAAACACAGATGTGACGAGTAGATCATGTATTCCAGCACAACAAGATTCTAACATGATTAGACTCCAGAAGGCTCCAGGAACCTGCAACCCAAAAATATAATGTGACTTTACTAAATGCCACACTGTTAATTTACTTTTCATGGAAGAGCAAGCCACAAGCAGCAATCCCAAAATTTAGAGTCAATTAAGACAAACTTGTTTTGGCAAACACTGGATCAGAAAACCGGCTGTGGTATCTTTCTGTGCACCAGCCTTTCAGTGAAGGCTTGGAATAGAGTAGCATGGTGTGGAAGAAATGCAGAGTTTCGTGAAGTTCTGTGTAGAATGTCCCTGTGATGTTTGGTTGTTTTTTTCCTCTCCTTGTTTCTTAAGAAGCTATGGACACAGGTGGAAATGCACATTTCAAAGTCAGCAGAAGACACCAACATAAAAATTTCCATAATGTGGCCTGAACACTTCTACTTACATACAAACATACAGAGAAATCTTACATCAGAGGCAAAAGATGTAGCTGCAATAAATATGGAAGAATTAGGAATTATATAATTACTGCCCACTCAGAACCCCTCAAATGTGAACAATTTATAACCCAAGAACTGTTTAGGGTAGAGAAGGATTAATGAGATGGGGCTGGTGTCTCACTACTGCAGTTCCAATTCTTGAGACTGACAATATAAAGTAGCTACTATGTCATATTTATGTAGCCATTAAAATATTATTTACTGGATACAAGAACCACCTTTACTGGACTTTTTTCCCCCTTGAAGACCAAACATAAGAAAATAAAACTCTGATCAATTAAATTGTCACAGCTGTTTCTCAGCATTTTAAGACAGTGTCAGAATTTGAGTTCAAAATTCTGGAGACAAGCACTGTTAAAAGTTTTCAGCTCCTTGAATTCAAATTTGAATTTAGGACCATTTGCTCAACTATTCAGTTTCATTCACTGACAAAACAGACACATATGTATAATTGAAATCTTAACTACACTTCTGAGATTACAAGGATAACCTGCTCTAACTTCCTTAAACACTTCTGGCCTTTAATCTATCACCCCAGTAATACCACAGAGCTGCTTTGGTAGGATCAAGGATTAACAGTATCCAGCTCTGGGTAAGAAAAGGAAATGCAAAAGAGGAATGATAATATAGCAATCAAATATGCCTCTTCCTACTGAAACTGATAGAGACAGAAAATCCCAAGAAGTCCACTATTCATCAAAGATCACCTGTCTGGTTTACTACAGAATTCTAGCTTCCACCTTTTCACTATTTCATTTTTTAAATGTGTTATAATGAGATCTCAGTATCCTTCCACTGGTACCACAACTCAGGGTCTGGTGTCTGCAATTCCTACACAATAGCCTAACAGGAAAACTTCCTCTGCATATGAACTGTGTGGAGCAGTCAGGCAGACTATTCCTTCCCTAAAACAAGTACACAGCATCTACTCTAAATGTATGCAGGCAGCTACCATAATATAGTTACTCTAAAGGTTGTTACTCATTTGCATAATCCTCCAATAATGGGGTGGTAACTGAAAACACCATCTTGCCTTTACCTCAAAGAAGAAGATAGCATGCTAACCAGTACCATGGAAAAGGCATAACAACTTGATGGGAACTTATTCCTGTCACATACAGATGACATCTTAAGAAACAGTAAGTAAAATGAGATGGAAGGAAATCCAAATACAATTAAAATTTCACACAAATTCCTAACAATCTGACTTTAGAGCATAAAATACATATAGAAGTGACAAGGTCTGTACATGCTAGGCGTAGTATGGTGATGGTTAAAAATTGTTAAGAACTCAAAACTCTTAATTTTCTTCTTGTAAAAGCAAAGAAGAGATAATTTACAAAATTAATGTGGCAGAAACACATCTGCCACAGGAGCTAGGGCTTTTAACATGGTGGTCGCCAGCTCCTTCATGCCCTTATTTTCATGCCTCTGGCAGCACATCATTGCTGACACATGCGCACCCTGTCCAGGTTCAGACCTGCATACCCCACACCTGCTCCATGGCAAGAAACAGGAGGGGGAAACCCCTGGTCAACCCCTCAGCCTATGAAATCTCAGTCAACAGAATTTTTCTAGAACACTGACCATAGATGAATACAGTTCAGATCCAATCAGACTATTAAATAGGGCCCCTGAAAAGATCCCCTTTAAGTGGTTCTCCTTGGAGCCGTGAGTCTGTAATCAGAAGCCCTCCTCTTGAGACAGGGACACCACCCAAGGAAACTTCCCAGGACGGAATGCCCTCACACTGCCTTGGTGAGTGAATACTTCTGGATATCCTTGAGTGAGTCATCCTCACCCCCTCTGGGTGAGAAATTACATCTTCTGGGTACCCTTGAGTGGGAGGCTTCCCCCTTAGTGAGTGACTGTGTGCACACGTTGGTGTTGTCATTCTTACAGGTCATCATGCTTCTGGGTCACTGTGCAATACCAACTTCCCCGAACACCTAACTCAGACTGTTAAATGGTCTTGAAGCATTGTTTTAGTTACCCTAGTCATCTCACTGGTTTTGGGTGTTTGGATTTGGTTACAAATTAATGTTTATTCAAGTTTATTATCTGTGTGAAGTCTCTTTGGTATACCTCCAACATTTTAATTGGCACAGTGAGCAGGGTGTACCAATGGAGGGATTATTACAGAGACACGGTTGTGATCCTTCTCCCTTGGGAATGAAGTTGACAGAGGAGTAGTGGTGTGAGCCTGAAGAAGCTGTGGAGAGGGTGGAGAAACACGATGGAGATAAGCAAGATGACAATAAGAAAGTAACTATTTGTGACATCCTGGGTGCCTGCCTGCTACAAGTGCAGGACCAGCCTAAGTATCACCACCAGTTGGAACGGGATAGTTCTGAGAGACAGCTGAAAACAGTTTGTTTGGAAGCAGAGTTACAGCGAGAGTGAGAGCAGATCCATGACTTCGAACAGAGGATTGAGCCAGCAGCCACCATGATAAATGCCCTAGCACCGGAGAGCTGGGGCGGGGGTGTTCCTGCCACACTCCATTCTGTGACCAGTCATCTGATCAGTTCTTTTTGAGTGGTGGTGCAGACACCTCTTGCCTCCAA